TTCTGATCTGATGAATTAAGTAAATTTAAAAATTGTTTAAATTTTATTTTTCTGTCATAGATTAAAGAAGATTTCTATATATTAGTAATTTTTTTATACTTAATAAGTATCAATTGTATCATAAATGTATCATTTTATTTCCAATACTGAAATACTGAGCAATGTATCAAATTAAATCATCAAAATATTAAATTTAAAATTATATTAAATGCTCAATTTTTGTTTTAAAATCTTTAGTATTGTTAAAGATGTTTTTCTTATATTAGAAATTATTAAATTGACTATAATCAAATTAAATGAAAGTATCTTCTCCATTTTATCTTCGAAAAAAATGTATTGAACTCTTGGGTTACATTAGACAATTTAATAATTTTTATACTTATGTAATTTTAATATATTTTTATCAACGAAAATTTTCTGCAATTTTAAGAATTTGATACCTCTAATCCAAACTTATAATTAAAAGAGGAAAGTTTCCTACATTCTAAGAAAGTAAATGAATTCGAAAAGTTTAAAAAGTAAAATAGAAAAATGATCATCTGAAATATACAGAGTAAGAAAAGAAATGTGTGATATATGTTTCTCTAAATGTACTTTATGTAATCGAAATTTATATCCCTAAAAGCTCCATAATATTCAAAGTAACATACATAATTCTATCCATTCGTATGAGATAAAAAGCTTTTGAAAATAACTTCACATAAGTTTCAAAAATAATACATTGTATTAAATAAATTATTCCTTTTTTGAAAGTAATGTATTTATGATCATGCAAATGTCATTTCTTTTAAAAAAAAAAGAAAGATAAAACTAGAATGAAGAACTAGCCAAGTAATATAAAAAATTATATAAATCTTAACGAAAAACACATCGCAGTGTAAAAGCAAAGATTCTCTACATTTTTAATGTTGAAGTGTTTTAGGAGTCATAACATTGCAATATTGCAAAACTTATGAGTTTTGAATGTGTTTCTTGATCTTTATTTTGATTTAAGTGACATTTTAGTTGGTCGAAGAGTTTTATGAGATAAATTATTTGTATTAAGCAGTAATAAAATACAGATATATAAATTACTTTTTGTGCCGGTAAAAAATATCGTATTAAAATATGACTGGAATTCATTGCAAGACTTTTCATTTAAAAAAATAAAATGTTATAATATAATTGATGAAATTACTGTGAATTAAAAACTGTAAAATATTTCAGATCTTCATATTGAATAAATAGGATATAACAGACTGGTGTTCAAAATTTAGGGAATTTTCGGATGAAATCCATTATCTCAAGAACTACTGGACACATTATAATGAAATTTGGTACAAGTATACGTAGTGTTAGTATAATTAAAAAAATAATAACAATTCACCAGTTAAGGTATCCGACTACGTTCGGAACCGTGATTTTAAAAAGTGCATAAATGGATAATTTTCATGGTATTTAGTGTCACTTAGATTAGAATACATGTATAAAATTGTTTTAAGGACATTTTGACAAAAAATTATTTAAATTCAATATTTCGGCAAAAAATTAACTTAGAATAACCTTTTTTTTTCAAAATATTCTCCTTTTGTGAAAAATGCTTCTATTATAACAATATTTTGCCTGTATATAGCTCAAACCTCTGTACAGAGGTTCAACTATAATTTTTGAAAAACTCAAATTATTTTCAGAATTACAACCCATTGAAATAATTATTGGCGTTTTTTTTTCTTAAAATTTCTCCCCTCTGTTGTCGTAAAACATGGATAAACCCACTTGTAAGTTCTGAGTTCTTACAAATAGCCCTATCTCATAAATTCTTCCAGAAGCCTTCGACCTTGAACTGGGGCTCCTGTGGCTGTATACAATTCACGAGAGAGCCGAAAAGCTGTAGCATCCCCATAATGTCCCACTATAGTGAACAAATTGAGATCTTCTCTTGTCATCGTGGATCTTTGGCGAACTTCACATGATTTCTTTCGACGAATCCGATATCCTCAAACTGTTTTCCTAAGTTGAACAGAAATTTGGCATAAAATTGAATTATCCTCAAATGTAGATTTGTGACTGGCCTACTTTTATTTTATCCACAATTCGCCTCCTGATTCCATCATCTAAACATTGGTAGTTACACATTTTTACTTTTTCAATTTTTATTTAATTGATTGCTGCAAAAGTACATCAAGAAATTCAGTGAAGTGTGCTGGTGAACGAAATGCAGATTTTGGGATTTGCGCTTATAAATCTTGCTAATCAATTAGCTCTGCCCAAGCACACGTATACGCTTACGCATTCAACACATAATATATACATCTTTGTTTTCGTAACAGTATTTTTACATTTCATTCAAATCTTTTCAAGAAATTCGTCAAAATATGGAAATTCTTTTAATTTTGAACAGCAGTGTACCATTTAATATTTAAATGCATTATGAAGATAATACATGCGTTTAACATAATCTTTTTCCTTCCTCATTCGAATATATTTAAAGTAGATTAAATTCGCAATTTTAATTTAATTCAGATTCTATTGTTGTTCAGATTGTATTATTGTCTAGGTTCTGCCCTTGTCAAATTTGTTAACTGACAGATATAATTCAGTTGACACTTGCCTCTCTAAATTTTAATTAAACAGCAAACTTTTACTAATTTAATTGTATTACATTATTTAATTGCATTTGAAAAATTTAACACCGAATCAAATTTCCTGCATGTGACAGTAACACTTTCAGTTAACGTTTGTAGTTAGTAATAATATTATCATAAAAATATTTTTAAAAAAAGCTTCGTTTTCATGTAGTCGGTATATTATTTTGATACCCATTTCAACTACCGTAAAATCTGGTGTATAACACGCACCTATTCTTTCAAGCTGCAATTTTAAATCATATTCACCGTATAATGTGCACCCCTTTTTTACGAAGGAATCTGAAATATTACATAATATTCTTATGTTTTAAAGTGATTTGTTCGAGGTATTATTCCAAATCTAGAAAATATTAGTAGTCTTCTAAAACTATAATCCTTTAAGTTCATAAGAAATGTCATTTCTTTTAAATAAACAGTATTTCAATGTCCATAGAAGTCTTAATTTTTTTTCTATTCTCATCTTTTTTTTTTACTTTCAAAGCTCTCATTTTTATACCGCGCCCGTATAACGCGTGCCCGTAAATTTTGATCTTATTTTTTATGTTAAAAGTGCACGTTATACTCCGGATTTTACGGTAATTTAAAGCAACTAAAAATACTGAAAAGTAATTGGATTATTTTAAATGAGGTATACTGCAATCAGAAATTCAGATGTTAAAAATTTGCTTTAGACTTTCAATGGCATTGTATTCTTGATTCTGTGAAACCGCCCCCCTAAGGTGACAGTTTGATTATCCGCGTGAGCTAGAAGTGTAGGGCTTACAAAAGGAACAGACATTTTTATAAATTCTTAATATGACTTTATTAAGAATGTAACTTAAACCTCTAACAAATTAGATTATAATATTTAAGAGAGAATCTACGATGAACAAACACACAATAATACTTATACCGAATCCCGTAACGTGGACCACTATCAATATCTAACCCGCCTCATCTCACTTCTAATAATATTACAAGTCCTATTATCAAATAATTAATCCTACCTTAAGTTGATCGTAGCTTCAATACTATGAAGAGGCGTCTGGGCGCGCGTGCAATGGTATGCACCTTGACCTAATGGCTTAATCTTCAAGGTAACTTCTACTGGCTGTCAAAATTCACGCTTGTATCAATCTCTCACATAACATTCCCCAAATTGCCATACGACTTACTGAAATTTCTGTTATTTAAAAGCTATCTCATTTGCATTTCAGCTTCACGTTTCACTTCTTGGGTTTTGGTTGGGAAAAAGTTGCCATTAATCTTGGCCCCCAAAGAACCCAGAGGACATGTTAAAGAGAAGACGCGTGTGAGCCCGTCACAATTCTAAAATACAAAGTTATTTACACCAGAAAATTTGAACTCAGTGATCCTTTTTGACCTAAATGCTCCTAAAAGAATTTTGTGTAAGGATACAGGATCTCTCTCCTCGAATTTATCATTATGTTCCTTTCCGGCAAACATATCGTAAGTTGCTCTCTTCGTAAGCAGGATTTATATTTTTCAGAACTTATTTTAATTTTAAAACGGTTAACAGAAATTATACATAAAATACAAATTTTATAGTTGTTGCAAATAATGTGAAAAATCCATCGAGAATGGGCTTCATTATACGTACTGCGTCAGCTCCGAGAACTTTACCATGACCGCGGCTGCGAACACGGAATGACGTTGCATCTTTTGAATCATGGTTTCGAGTCCAAGTACCGCTAAACGATGAAAAAGTCTAGATGGGCTGATGTACTTAAAATCTATTGAGAGTCAAAAGTCTTTTGGACAGTGAAATGCAAATTTATGTTCCGTTCGTTTCACTGACTGAGGATATAAATTATAAGGTCCGTTGCGCCAATTGGCCGCGTGTTGCTTTGGAAGTATAACGTTACTAATAACAATCAAGCATTATATGCCAAGAACTTTTCGACATAGCTGATACAGATTATTTGTTCTTTACTATTTTTGTTTGTGAATTTTTTCTGCCTACATTTGTCTACATCGTATCTTAATGCCTACATCATGATTCCTTCACAAGGCAAGGCAGCAAACGAAACAGTGTCATATAGAAATCTCAGAGATTAGCCTTGAGGAAAGGAAAATAATTCCATTCTTACTGTATTTTAAGTTATTTTTTCAATTCTTAATATTATCTCACTTTCTCCTTATATTTATTTATTTATTTATATATACATCATGTTCAAATTTTCAATCGTTAATAAAATACTTTCTATTCATCCATTCAAGTTCAAATACATTTTTTTAAACTTGTATTGGATGACACTCGATGTTAATACAGTTTTTCAGATATTAATTAATTAATTAAATTAAAAATGAATAAATAGTAACAAACAAAAATAATAGTCCAAAGCATACAAAGTAAGGAAAATCGTTCGTTGTGTCCGTGTAACGCAATGGATAGCGTGTTGGACATTTAATCCAAAGATCGTGGGTTCGAATCCCACCTGAGATGGTCTAATTTCTGAGAATGTGATTTCTTTCTTTCTTTCTTTCTTACTGTGCTATTTTATTAGAATAATTTAATTTAATTAATGAAAAAATAGTAACAAAAAAATAGTCCAACACCCCCTATATAGAAAGGGAAAACAGCTTTCTATTTTGTCACTTATTATTGCCATTCTGCCATATGTATATACATATTTATATTAATTGTGGCTATTTAATAGAAAGTAACTAAAATAAATTTTTGCTTTGTTGACCTAAGTAGGAATTAACTTGATTTTTTTTTATATTACTTGTTTTATTTGGCTATACTATCACTTTAGATTCACGTATATATATATATATATATATATATATATATTTATGTATACAAAATTCATTCAGAATATACTTAGTTATTTTTATTATTGCACAAATATTAATTGTATAACTATCGAATTTTTTGTTTTATTATATGTACTTAGATATTTATTCCAACAATTATCAGCTCAGATTTATGTACGTAAAGGCTTTTTGAATTAACTACTGCAATTAAAGAGGATTTAAAAAATTGCATTAAATGTACTTATTGAATTAAATTCAAGTATAAAAATGGAGCAATAATCCGCATGCATGAATAAGAAAAATACTTTTTCGCACAGTTGTTTATTGTCTTCCTTTATCTGAAGAAAAAAAATTGCAGCAATACAAGCTCAACTATCGATTTGCTTCTCTTAAATAAGCTTTTGTAACAAAGTACAACATAACATAGGTTTCTTAAAGTACAGAAGATAATAGAAATAACAAAAACAAGTTGGTACAATTTTGTTTTAAAACAAATTAGAGGTTCATTCAAAGGCAAAATAAAATACAACAAACATCTTAATACTCTAATTGCTAGTCACTTTTGTTGTCAAAGTTATCACTTTTTAAGCACTCTGTCTTGTTTACAGGCATATAAATGAATTTTACGGGTTTCCCTAAAAATTACCAAGAAAAACTCACAGCACAAAAGAACAACATAGTTAATTGAGACTATTAACAAAAGCGGAAATTAGAGTTAGTTTTCGTCTAGACGTTGTTTTCGAAAGTAATTAAAGTTCTTTAAAAGTTTTTTAAATGATTTTCAAAAAATATAAACGATTAACTATCATCTTAATTTTGTGTAAGAAAAAAATAAGACAGTTTAAATAAAATGTAATGATGAATTTTACAAACTCAAAATGAAAATAAAGTAAAAAAAAAAAAGACTTTGGACGTTGAAAGCAATAGAACCATATTCGTAAATATTTCTGTAGAAAGTTACCCGAGGAAAAAATAAGAAAAGAAATAGTTTGAAAATATGATATGTTTGTCATATTGAAATAATGACAAAGAAAATACTCCAAATATATTAAAAAAGAAAATTAAATTATGTCATAGGTTAAATGACTAAAATCAAAATAAACTTAATTTATTTAGCGAACTTCTTATATGGTTATAATATTTAATTTCATAATTTAAGTTTTTATGAAATAATACTTTATTAAATTAATGGGATTATTTAAAGACCACTATCATAGCCAAATATTGTTTCCTGCAAACATATTTTTCAAATTTATTTTGTCATCGCAAAGCCCTTGTAAATGATCCTATATTTACGTTGAATATCCTGATATTTATGATAAATTATAAACATATAGATTTATTATTAATTTGTAATAAATTTTTTCCGTATTTTTTTTAAAATCTGTTACGCAGGTACACACTCGCGCGTGCACACAAACATTTTAAGAAACAGTATTTAAATTTAAAGAACCAGAAACGCGTTATAAGTATTTTTTAAAAGAAAAACATTGAGATAAAAATAAATTTAGAAGACATAATTTATATTATTTTTAAGGCCTTTACTGTACCTTTTAGAGCTAAAATTTAGATGAATATATAAATAGTATGATTTTATATGGGAATTTTCTTTTATAAGTTTTTGTTCACACACACAGAAAATTTAGAAATACTGATGAGACATTGGGTATTTAATTTGAGATTCTTCAATTTCCTTATATATTTAACGCTTAAAACGTAATTATTTTAGCTTTAATGAATTCATTTTAACCCTATAGACTATATTTTTTATATATAAAATTACCTATCACTTTTATACGCTATTTATGTTCAACATGATAAAAGCGTGCCTTGCAAAACTGTTAAGAAAAGCAATATCTATGTTACATGCGGTTATGGGGTAAAAAATGCAACAATTTTTAAAAAAAGAAAAAAAAAATGGAATGGTTCATTAAAACTCCTCACAAGTATTGAATTTTATCTTTAATACTTCCATAAATTATATTTACTTCTCATTTAATCATTTTACCATTAAAAATTTTTTCTAATAAAAGTCCTAAAGAAAGGAAGGGCTATGTAACAGCTATACAATGTAATAACTAGTGTTCCGCATGAGTGTTTAAATTACTTTCCTCCGCGTTCTCTCTTTTTGGAATTTCTGTGATGTGAGAGTCACGTTTCTACAATACGATTATAGTTTTTCATAGATTTTTCTAGATGAGAAATATTCTCTCTTGATGTTCTCTTGATGTTAAATTGAAAGTTTCAAAAAGATATTCCCATTTTTTTTAAAGTAAAGGAAAAATATGACATTCTGTGAATCACGATAAAAATATTTTTTGATTTGTCTTAAAAATGTTGCACATCCTATGTTTTAATTTGTGTTACTGGTGTTAACGTCTACAAATATCTTAAAAATAATATATATAAATTCCTTTTGGTATTCTTTTAAAGTAGAAAAAAAGTATTTCTACACACAAAATGTTATTTTTCTTTAATAATAGTTTTTCGACAATTTTAAAACACTTCAGCTTTTTAAATAAAACTTAAGAAAATAATAAAGTACTTTACTAAATGAAGATAAACTAATTGAAAACCAAAACTAACATTTTACATCTTGTACATTTGAATTATTATATAAATTTGTGAAACCGCCAGCCTTAGGCGACCGTTTCTTTGACTGTCCACGTGAGCTAGAGGTGTAGGGTTTACAAAAGGAATAGACATTTTTAATTCTTAATATGACTTTATTAAGAATGAAACTTAAGTGTTTAACAATTTAGATAATATTATATACATGCAAAAATCTACTATGAACAAACACACAGTAATAGTTAAACCGAATCGCGTAATTCGGACCACTATCAATACTTAAATCGCCTAATCTAATAATATTACAAGTCCTAATATCAAATAATCAATCCTACCTTAATCCAATTTTAGTTTCAATCTTATGAAGAGGCGTCTGGGCGCGCGAGCAATGGTATGCAGCTTGACCTAATGACTTAATCTTCAAGGTAACTTCACAATTGGCTGTCAATTATCGCTTGAATTACTTTCACACATAACATTCCCCAAATTGCCATACGACTTACTTAAACTTCTGTTATTTAAAAGCTATCTCATTTGCATTTCAGCTTCACGTTTCACTTCTTGGGTTTTGGTTGGAAAAAAGTTGCCATTAATCTTGGCCCCCAAAGAACCCAGAGGACATGTTACAGAAAAGACGCGTGAGCCCGTCACAAATTGTATAACTGAGAGTTATAATGTTTGACTTCGTTAAATGAACATGGATATGAAAAATAATCACTAAGCTATGAAATTTATAATTACAAATATTTAATACCTGAGTATAAAACTGTGTGATTTTGCATTTCTCATTGTCTTTGTTGGCTTTCATTACTTGCGTAACTGTGTGTGCTGCTGCTGTTAAAACTTCAATCATATATTGTATATGTTTTATTAATTCCACTATACTTCAATATAGATATTTATGTATCATGATTAAAGGAATAGAAACAATCAAGTATTATATATTTGTAATTGCAATTGTTGGCTATATTTACGAGTTTCAAATAAATCAACTGAAAATCCTTGGAGTTTTAAGGACATTTTCCATTCATAGCAATGCATAGAGAACTCGTAAATTATTATTAAGAAAATCTGAACCATAGATAAATAGTTTTCACCATAAATTTAGTGAAAAATGAACTTATGTTAACGTTGAATGCTTTAGAGAAATTAAAAGATGTTTAAAATTATGCTATAGAATATATTCATGAACTATTATTATAACGTTACTTCCTTATATAAAATGTATATAGAACTATTATACTTAGTGTATGCTTAATATTTTAATACATTAAATATCTCGATGAGCATGAGTAAGATTTTGCTCATAGAAAGAAAGTTTAATTGCTAATCGAATGTATTGATAAGTGGGTGTTGAACATAATTTTGTGGTAATAAAACATTGAAATACATTTTTGCTACTATACAGTTATATCAAAACAAGGCTTTTATTGAATGATTTTTGCATGTTATAAAGTGTGTGGAAATTTATATTTTCATAACATATCAAGATGTTTGATTTATTAATGGGATTTAAATAAAAATTTGTCATTATATGTCTTGTGAGGAGAAATAAAAATAAATATGAAGAATAAGTCCTTGGAAACGAATCTTAAATTTTTGAGCATTTATGAAGTAAGATTACAATTTTTATAGATAGAATACTCTGAATAAATTCAAATTAAATCAATAAAGCAACTGTGCGATGCTAAGAAATATGTATGCTAATACATTCACTTAAAATCTTCACTTTTTATATAACATATATTCTCATAAAAGCAATATATAATTCACAAAATTTTCTCAGTAAATCACCGTATAAAATTACTGTACCTATATGAGTGTAATGTCTGTATGTGTGAAATAATATATTTAGCAAAATGATTTTTAAATAATGCTAAGATTAAGAAGAAATAATTCTCGATTATTGAATCTTCACAATATATATTAGTAAACTGATATTCTTAAATTATTGATGTATGAAAAAAACGCTGCTCGTATATTCAGTTTAGTTGCGGATAATGTATTAAAATAAAATCTAGTAAATTTGGTAAACATTTTATGTTTTACACGTTTTAAAGCATTGTATTCTAATTTTTATGTACCTCGTTATGAACACTCCATTTTTTTAAGAGT